CTACAAACAGTACCCCTTTTCAGGGTGGCTGAGCTTTGAGCTCTCTGTCTAATTTGAATTCAAGCAGAAGATGTTTACTGCTGAGGGTTTGGTTTTCTTCAGCCAAGTGCATTTATTCATCTATATATTTAAAATGCAAAGTACTTATAATATTAAACTTGTACTTATTTATCACAAAAAGTTTTGGAAAAACATAGGAAAGTGACAAAAAGGACAAAGAGAGACAAGAGATAAAATGTCACTGCTGACCCCCTTTAGGTGGAACTACTACTGTTTTATGTACCCACCCTTCTCTTTCCTATATCTTTCTATAGCAAATTCTACACTACTGAACATAAAATTTATGTATTTTTCTTACTAAATTTGTAACAAAAATATTCCCCATGTTATTTCAGAATTTTTGTAAATCTCTTGAAAAATGACGCATTTTTTGCATTGTTGAATTCTTACTGTTGGAATTTTGAGTTTTTTTTTTCTGGGTATAAGTAATGTTTTGGAGAATATCTTTATCTAGATAAATATTTCTCTCCTTAGAAAATTATTTCTTCAGGAGAAATTATTGGGCTGAAAGGAATGGATTTTTAGGATTTATTTTCTGCCTGATTATCACAGTAAGGTGAGTTTATCATTGGCATGTAAAATACAATAAAATGGGGAGAGAAAAAAGTCTTCCACATCCTCTGCCCGGAGGCAACTGATTTTAGGATTTGACATGATTTCTCCTGATAAAGGCAACTGTTATCTTTCTTAGTAAGACTCAAGAGTATGGACATTTTTAAGGTCTTCGATAATACTGCCAAGATTGCTTTCCAGTTTTCCGCTTATTCTTCTGGGAGTGTGTGAGTTGTGACCACCCTGAAAACACAAACATCTGAGAGTTGTCAAGTGAGACCTCTCCTCTTCAAACTCTCCACACTGTCACTGTGACTCAAGGAAAGTCGGGGAGCCTAGGAAGGGCGTGAAAAAAGTCGCAGACAGACATGGCTCAGAAAACTCATTTCCGGGTCTGGATCTGGCTGAAGTCCATGTTTCTGAAAGTCCGTCTTTGCTAACGCTGGTCACTGGGGGGGATTTGGACATGCTTGGTTGTGACAGGTAGCTATAGACATCAGCCCTCTGGGTCGGCTTGCTGAAGATGGGCCATTGACCATTTACTAATACAGGTAGAAGGAAGAGATCCTCTAGTAAGGGCTCTCCAATCTTCTTCAGAACATGAAGAATAATATTTGTCTATGTGCTGGATAATTCAATAAGACTTCTGTAGACTTGGGCCCCATCAGGCTCGCTCTCTCTTCTCTCTCTCTCTCTCTCTCTCTCTCTCTCTCTCTCTCTCTCTCTCATCCTGTTTTGTTCTCCCACATAGTTCTTGCACCGATTACACTTGTCCCCTGGATGATGGTGCTGTTCTGGACGGCTGGTGGAATCTTTAGGAGATGAGGCATGGTTGGCAGAAGTAGGTCACTAGTGGAAAGTCTCTGGTTCTGGCAACTGTCTGCTTCCTGTCCATTGCCATATGAACAGCTACTGCCACACACCACAGCCTGGCTGCTCTGGACTGAGCCATTCCAACATGGCTTCTGTGTCAGGATGGACTGAAATCTTGAACCCCAAAGGAACCTTTCCACTCTCAAGTTGCTTCTGTAAGAACTTTACTCTGTACAATTAATTTTTCTTTTTCTGAGACAGGGCTTCTCTGTAGCTTTGGTGCCTGTCCCGGAACTAGCTCTAGTAGACCAGGCTGGCCTCGAACTCACAGAGATCCACCTACCTCTGCCTCCCGAGTGCTGGGATTAAAGGCGTGCGCCACCGCCATCTGGCTCCATGCAATTAATTAACTGCAATTAACCAACTAAAAAGAAATTAATGCACACAGGACTCTAATACTTCCTTGTATAAGGTGCAAGCTTTTCTTAACAACCTTACGTGGTCACTATTATAAGTCTTACATAGTAGTTGTTTTCTATAAAAATACATCAAGTTCCATTATGAAAGTTTTCTTCCTTTGGCTTCTCTTATCAGAAGTCTTTCAACAATTCAACAATTATTAACCACACTCTAGCATGGACCAGGCCCTTTAGTAAACACTGGGATAGAAGGCTGCCATAGAGAGCTTAGGACTCAACTGTGTGGAAGTAAACAGAAGAATGGCAAGGGAAAGTGGGAAGAACTTCATCAGAGATGGGTCCACATTGCCTGGCCAGCATCTCCAGGCAGTGGGGAGGCTTCCAAACGCAGTATGCATCATGAAGGAGAACTAGAATTCATACCCACCAATCCAGAAACAGTACTGGATCAGAGAGCAGAAACTTGAGGTTTTAGGAAATAGATGAGATTTTGTGTGTGCGCGTGCCTTTAACACCAAGATCAGACAGTACTAGGAAGCACAACAGAGACTGAGGAGGTGACGAAAGGAAGCCATGGCTAGATTTTGAGGCTTTCTGTCACACATGGGCATTAGAACTTGTTTTGCGATGGATCTCTGGAATGATCTTTAACCAGCAACTGGCATCTGCAGACCGCAGTGGAGAGGGAGGGACATTACTTCCATATCAATGGTACCAATGTAGGCAATGGGGGGGGGGAGACGCTGGGTTGAAAGTTGCTAGGAGGCAGCTGCAACTTTGAGACACCCAGGAAAGAACGGCAAGATGACCACCTCACAGAAACCCCAACACCAGACATGAGAAACACGCTTCTGAGTTGTTGGCAAGGACTACCCAAGAGACTCCCCAAATATACAACCAATTGCTGCTGTCCTTGGTTACCTACCCCTAGAATTGGAAGGAAAGTCTCTATTGCTGAAGGCATCATGCATTTTAGAAGCAGGACCCAGGCACCCCTGAGTTGGAATTGATTTGAAAGCCCCCTCCCTGAGGACTAGCTTGCATGATGCCAGAAGGTTCCATGCAAGCTTCGGAAGGAGGGAAACAACCTATACAGTCCTACCCAGCTATGATGCCTATAAACCACATCAACAATCAGCATGGCACAATAACTCTAAGGGTGCAGTAGTGGCATGCCTACCTTGGAGGTAACCAACAGCTCTCTGATTGGACTCAAGACCGACTTAACGAGAGGGAAACCATGCTCATAATGAGAACCTAGCTAACTATTTAGCTAGTGACGTACTGGTTGTTGGAGGAGAATTTGAACCCACTAATTTCCTAACAATGATCATCCCTAACAACGATCTATAAACATTTGTCGTTGACTCACAGATAGAGCAGTCTTCAACCCTCATCAAGATAACTTCTCTTTGCAGGACACAGAGACCACTATGGAAAGCCACAGCCAATCAGAATGCAGATTTGGAGCCCAGTCCTAATGAATACATATACAAAACACCCCTGCGCTTAAAGCTCAGAAAACACGGAAGAGGCCGTGAGAAAATTGTCAGAGCCAAAGGATCAGGGAGATTGCTGTGAGACTGTATCTCTTAGTAGTATCAGAAACTACACTTATAAAGTCTCACCCACAAGTGTGACCTGAGTGAGAATGACCCCAGTGGACACACCAAACTGAATGAAGAAAAACCCATGAGGTTTTAATGCTACACAGAACTCCAGACAACTGAGGAAAGCTGGGAACACGAAAGGTGATCTTCCTTTCCCAGGGAGGAGCGTACCAGCTGGTTGTCCAGTGCCAAATGGTCATCCCTAAGAACATATATATGGGTAGCGTATGGACTGAACAGGTTATATATATATACATATATAGTAAAAGGAGAGAGATGATGAATTTGGAGGAGAGTGGGGAGGGGTATATAGGAGGGTTTGGAGGGAGGTAAGGGAATGGAGGATGTTGTAACTGAGTTGCACGAAAGGGGTCGTTATTAATGAAAGAATCCCTAGAAATGGCCGAGGAGTATGAGAACTCAGCTTGGGCAAGCAAATGCATCATTGTGCCCCTGGCAAAGAGAGAAAGAATTTATCCCATCATTCCAGCTCCTCGGATCCAAACCAACCCCTTGGCCTCAGCCCAGAAACCCATTTCTTGTTCAGTCCTTGTCGTCTCCTTTCTTTAGAGAGCATCCCCCTTTGTAGAATAATCATCAATTCATTCATCAGGGGACACTTTACTCCCCAAAAACGAGGTTAGCCTTTCACATGGGTTAGGTCTGATTTCTATGCAGGCCTGTAGGACTTTACGGGACTCATAGCTCTGATACTCATCTCACTTACTATCTCAGAGATGGGGATTTGCTGAGTTCAAAAGGCTGTAGGGACTGGTGCGGTAGTTGCAAAGGAATACTTTTTATTTACTTATTTTTTTGTCTTATATGTTTGAGTGTTTTGCCTGCACATATATCTGTGTGGTACATGTGCCTGTGGAACCCCCCCCCCCTAAATAAAAGGGTGCGAGAAGCCTTGGAAGTGGAGTTATAGATGGTTGTCAGTCACTGTATGGATGCTGGGAGGCAAACTCAGGTTCTCCAGAAAAGCTCGTAACTACTGAGTCAGTCACTCGGCTTCTGGACCCTCTGATTTTTCCTAGTCTAAGAAGAAATCCCAAGAAACTCCTTTGTATCCCGAGCCTCATAAGACACTGTTTGAAAAGCTGGGGGGCAGACATGGTGTTAGAGTCCCATGGGCATGTATTTGAACCTCCTCACTAGGCTATAGCTGTTTTTGGTAACGATAACAAGGTAATTGCTAATTGACCAAGTGTTACAGGGTTGGTACTTTATCATGGTAATCAATGCATTCTCCCCCAGAGTAAGAAAAACCAGAGTTTGGGTAAAGTTAGGGGTACGCTTGAGACCAGGAAGAGGACTCATATTGTCCTCTGTTCCATCTACTCCATGTAGCCATGATCACCTGCCTTTTCAGGAGGTCTATCAATATTTAATGTGCGGGTGTCAGTTGCTGTAATTGAGCGTTCTTCAGAACCAACTTGAATTAATCATATGCAGAAGGAGAGAAAATAAAATGCCCTTTTCTCAGAGCCTAGTTCCACTGGCTGCTTGGAAGCCTAGAAACCGCAGTGAGAACTTCCTGCTGATGGAGGACCCGGAAAAGAAACTGAATCAGAAGAGCGACAAGAGCAACGACAAACCCAGAAAAGTACGATTTAAGATCTCCTCTTCCTACAGCGGCCGAGTGTTGAAGCAGGTTTTTGAGGATGGGCAGGAATTAGAGTCACCCAAAGAGGAATACCCTCACAGTTTTCTCCAGGAGGCCCTTGAACCAATGGATGGTGTCTATGGGTCAGGGGAAGCCCCCAAGCCTCAGCTGTATTCCCCTAAGCTGACTGCTCAAAGGATCAGCGTGTTTAGAGATGGCAGTGCCTACTCTCTGGCGGGCAGCCAGCCTCTGTTCAATGACTACAAGGCGAATGACCATAAGGTTGGTATTGTGTGAGGTTATGGGCTTTTAGGGTAGGCTCCTTGAAATACATCTAGCAAAATACCAAGGTGCTTCAAGATAAGCATCTCTCTCAAGTTCAGCTACCGGCCAGAGCTGGAGGTGCATCAAATGTGGAGCCGTTATTAGAATAATATTTCTTGGACAAAAATAACATGCGGTTGACTACTCATTGGAAAGTGTGACGAGCATGGGCAGCGTTCAAATTCCATCCAGGGTAATACACTGTAATTGGGTCTTTGGCTGAGTTTCCTTCGTGTGTAAATTAAATAGAGGTGCAGCGGTTTTCGAGTTGCCAGTCTGTCGTTTTGGAGAATTATGCAGCAGTAGGTCATTCCGTTTCCTGAAAGAATTGAATATTTGAAGGTACCCATTTTGCTCCAGCCAATTACTCTGCTGTATTTTATCCATGTCTTGTTTTTTTTCCCCCTCCTTATCACCTTCCTACTGCCTGCTTTTTAAAATTGTCGGTCTATTTATTTAGTTTTGCCTTCCCAGTGCTCATTAATATGAACACTAGGTAGCTGGAATCCTGGGAAGAAATGGTGAAAAGCAAATCAAACAGAGGAAATGTTTCTTGGGGAAGAAGTTTGAACTAATAGTTCAATGATGCAAACTCTTCCTGCATGTTTCCTTAGCTTCTCTGGAACAAGGGATAATCAGAAGCCCCCGAGGGACTCTATTTTAAGCTAAGACAACATGGAAAATACTCAGTAATTTCCAGACTCTTAGGAGATGGGTTTGTGCTCACGGTAATGGAAGTATGAATGCTGTTTCTCTATGTGTAATGTATCTAAGTTACTAATGATAACTAAAACATGATTTGTCTTCATCTTGGGAGGGGTTTTTTCAGATAATTATTTTTAATCATTTTTATTGTTCATTTTCCTAAGAAAATAGGTATTGCAGGCAAATGTTTTGGACATGTTGATATTGGCAAAAAGAGTATTGTAATAGCCACAGTTATCAAAACCAATAGCAGGCTTCATTTTTGTATGAAGGGGTTGAGAATGAAAATCCCTCATGTTAGTAGAATGTTTTATGCGTTATAAAGTGCTGCCATGGATTGCCTTCTTCTATGTCCATCATAGCCTTATCTTTACCTCATTCTCAATGAAAAAGGCAAGGTATGGTCATTTCTATTTTGTGAAGGAGGAAAATGATGTGCCAAGTTGATCAAAGGCCACACATCACTGTAGGACCTAAGGTGTTGAGTCAGAATAGGGATCTTGATCCCCTGATTTTCCATACTTCAATCTCTATATCATGTTCCTTTTCAACAAACAAGACCATTACATAATAATGATGATGGTGATGACGTTCTTGACACGGCTGTTTATTTGTGTCCTAGGCCCTTAGCTATGTTTTCTGCTTATAATAGTCCTTTGCAACTGTTTCTTATTTGAAAGCTGAGATTTTTAAAAGGCATAGTTCATAAAAGCCATTATAGATAATTTAAGCTACTTCATAATTCAGATGCCGACTTTGGCACATGTACAAATGATTTGACATAGATTTACAAAACTAGATTAAAACGAAAATATTCCAGAGGTCATGTTGAAAGTCAAATTCCTGTTGGGGCTCGTTATTTCTTGCTTTCTCTGTTTCCACCAATGACCACATCCCACTGTCATCAAGCTCTAAGTGTGGCAGTGAGGCAGGGACCAAAATGGATTTGTGCAGCCCACCTACTGAAAAACAGTTCAGGATGGCATTCATGAAAAGCAAGGAAACAAAATCTGGAGTTCCATGACTTCTCAAAAATGGATGGAGCTATAAATTCACCCCACTTAAATGCTGCCTATGACAGCGTGATGGGTTGCAGTTAAGTGCAGTGATTCACTTAAGCATTTGGAACCCAAACAGGTATATGTATATCACTGTTTGCAGAAATTCACCATCAATTAGAGGTGGAAACAACTTAAATATTCATCAGTTGGTGAATGGCTACACAAGAAGTGGTATGTATACATAATGGAATATCACAACACCTTAGAAAATTTTGATATGCTTCAACATGGACGAAGCTTGAACACTTTAGGCTAAATGAAATAAGCCATGCATAACCAGGGAGACCCGTACCATTGCAGCCACATGACGTACTGATGGTACAAATCAATGGAGACAGAAAGTGGATGGTTGTTGTCAGGCTGGGGGTAGAGAAGAAGATGTCACTCTTTATGGATTCAGCATTTCAGTTTGGGAAGATACAGTTCTGAAGATAAATGTTGGACAACAATGTAAATTTCAGGGAACTCCATGCCAATAAATGGTCAGACGAGTAAGCTATCTGTTATGTGTATTGTAATGATAAAAACAAAACATGGGCTCTGATGTCTGTGTGAATTTGGGCAAACTCACTTTCTTGAGCCCCAACGACATCATCTTGGCCTGAGAATAGCTAAAGTGCCTTCCTTAGAAGGGCCACTAAGATGATTAAGATAGATAATTCCTGCAAGTACCTGGAACCCGATATATGTTTAGCAAATGGTACCTATTATTGTAGTGATGAACAAATTCTTAAGGAAATGTTGAGTCTACCTTTTATTTTATGTCTTGGGTAAAAAAGGTGGTGATAGGTAATAAAAACACGTTAAGGAATTAAAACTCACTGAAATGTGTAGGGTTTATGAAATTGTGGACAGGGAAAGGAAGGAGGTGACATTTACTGAGCAGATTTCTATGCATTAAATGGTCTCATAATATTTCAAAGGAAAATTTCAAATTGGGAAAACAGATGGTTACAGGATTTACAGATGAAAATAACCTGTCCATCTAACATAGTTGTCAAATAACATTTGAATAAAATTTGAATTGGGTTTCCCTGATTCCTAAGCCCATTAAATTTCTAGTGTCTAACAATGCTTCTCTGTATTCATTACTGTCTGGATAGCCGTTTATAGGCATGTGGCTACAGAAACCGGAATGTGTCCAGATACTTTCTTACGTACGCTGCCATTCTAGACTGTGTGCAAAAGGCTAAAAGATTCTTGGCTCCAACTGGCCCTCTATCCTATAGGAGTGGATCTTCCTCACAGGAAGATATAACCAGACCTTGTAGACTACAGTTGCACCCAGAGAGTTTTGCTCTGGCTAGCAAGAGCACTGAAATTAAACACACATTCAGAATGATTGTGGCTCTTCATCTTTGGAGTAAAAGTATTTGCTATCTTAGATGTTGACCGGTTTGGGAGCAGGGGTTGAAGCAGATGGTCATCCATTCCTTGAGCACAGTGGGAGTTTAGTCTTCAAGAGAAGAAACTGAAAGAAAAAGAGTCCTGGGTATGAGGAAACTTTCTGGTAACTGAACCTTTTTGGCTATTACAGGAAGTAGAAACAGAACCTTCCAAAAGTACCACCACCCTTATCTCCCGATGTCAGAAACTGATAGTCCAGAGTGTGAAATGGGAATCCAGTGTGCATAAAACAAAAGGAAATGGAATCGGATCCCCTGAAGAAGGAGAAAAGAAGGCCAGACAGGAAGCCTGTGGCTTAAGTAATCATTGAAAAACCCCATGGCTGTTTACTGGAGTCTGAATGTTGACATCTTGTTCATGTTAGATTCCAACTGAATACCTAAATATGAGAGTGTTTAACTCTGGCAGGCTGGGTTTAGACAATTCTAGAACCAGGAAAAATATTTCATGCTGGGGTGTTTGGCTGTACAGCATGAGTGTGCATACACTATTGAAAAATAGTTTTTAATAACAGCAGCAATGACGCCCACACTTGCATATTATCAACAGCTTTTGCAAACCCCACTTTTCTGTATCTTTCCTATCATCTTCCATCTTCAGAAGATGATATCATCCTTAGTTACTTGACTGAAAATATGTAACCAGTTGGAGAAGGGCCCTGGAGCTTGGCATCAACCCCTGTTTTTGAGGAGGAGTTGGAGACAGGGTCTCTCTGGGCAGCCTTGGCTGTCCTAGAACTTGCTCTGTAGACCAGGCTATCTGGAACTCACAGAGATCAGCCTGCTTCTGCCTCCAGAGTGCTGAGATTAGAGGCATGCACCACCGTGCCCAGCTAGCATTAGCCCTTATATTGCAGAACTTGACGATGTTGGAAATTCCTAGAAGGGAGACTTTAGAAGAGGTGGCAGAACCCAGGAGTTTCAGCACATGTGTGGAAGTTCTCTTGCATTTAAGTAACTAGCTACCAGCTGGATGTCAAGGCGCATGCAGATGACCAAAATGGAGTGTATCAGAATACACGACTGCACTGTGTCTTGTAACTAGTGGACACCAGAACTGGAATCCAAGGCTCTTTCCCTCCCAGTGTTCAACTGGGCAAAGCTTGTGTATTCCTGGTCAAGTGGTCCCTGAGTGGTTACTCTTCCTTTGTCTTTCCCTCTCTTGGTCCTTCTCCTCCTCCTCTTCCACTTTCTCCTTCTCCTCTTCTTCCTCTCCCCTTTCTTCTCCTTCGTCTTCTGAGTCTTGTACATTCTGAGCCCTAGGCCTCACATGTGCTAGGCAAGCTCTCTGCCTTTGAACTACAGTCTTACAACCCTGTCTTCCATCTAGCTTCTTCAGAGTGCTATAGTAGTGTCTTTTTTTTTTAATGAGCAAAGCATTACGTAACACATGGTAAACCCATAGAAAGAGACATTAACTATTAGCAATGAATGTTTAGAAGTATATTCATACAAGTATTTCATATTATTTGAATAACAAAAATAGATTATGATAGGGTATATTCACTGATGTATCTTTTTGTAATTTGATGTATATATTTTGATATATATGATATATAGAGATATATTTGGGGAGAAAAGAATGCTTGTGAATTGTGTATATAGATGTTAAGAATATGAGAGTTTGGAAAACAGGCATGGTGGTACATGCCTTTAATCTCAATACGTGCGATCAGATGCACTTGGATCTCGATGAGTTTGAGGTTAGCCTGGTTTACATAGTGAGTTTCAGGCACCAAGACTACACAGTGAGACCCTGAAAGATGGTAGGAAAGAAAGAAAGGAAGAAAGGAAACAAAGAACGTGGGCTTTAGGGACTAGAGAGTTGTCTCAGTGTTTCAAAGCACTTGCTTCTTTTGCAGAGGCACTAAGTTCAGTTCTTAGCACCTACATGGAGCCCACAAGCATCCATAACTCCAGTTCTAGGATATCCAACATCCTCATCTGACCTCTGCATGCACCAAACATCTATGAGGTGCACATGTATATGTAAGCAAAACACTCATACACAGAAAGTAAAAAGAATGAATCTAAAACTTCCAAAAAGGTATTGGGTTTGAATCCCAGCCACAGTTTCCAAGTCACTCTGTCACTTTAGTGAGGTATTTGATCCCATTGAGACTTAGTCCGCACCTGTAGAGAGTGGAAATCATATACCATACCCTCCACAGGGATGGTTGGTAGGGAAGTGTTGTCAGTAAAATGCTTAGCATGATGCCTGACACACAGTGTTCAGCAAGTGGTATGTGCTAAGATTATTTACACATAGACAAATAGAGAAATATTCGAATGAGACAATGTGCATGTGCCCAGCTCTGCACTGGCTGTCCTGGGGGACAGTGGGAACAGATGCTCTGGACCCTGATCTCTATAGTCCTGCCCTCCGAGTGGTCCAGCCTTCCTTGGTTCCCATCCTCAGCAAGAAGGAAAGGGACTCTTCTTACTTTTAGAAAGAATAAACAAACCTTGGAAAGAAGCCTTGGGGTGGGATGAGTCAGAGTTTGGGTGGGTGCCAAACCCTTCTCTCCTATTGGGAAGGTCATAGGGCAGCTTCTGCCACCCTGAGTTTGGTGACAGCTGACGCCCACTCTCTGTTTCTCTAGCCTCCACCGATTATAGATTTTGGGAAGATAATCATCTACACGAACAACCTGAAAATCATCCGGACCCCGATGGACAAAAGGGACTTTATGAGGAGAATCCTCCAGAAGGAAGCAGTTGCTGAGGAGGAGGCTCTGATGAGCACAGGAGAAAACGATGGCGACAGAGATCACAATGACAGTCCCCTGCCGGAGACGGAAGGCACATTTCTCCATAATCAGCACACACAGGTGTGTCAGCGCCATTGTTTCCCCCCAGGCTGGCCCTGCAGCAGTGCCCTGCCCATTGTTCTGCTCCTGCAATACCTCCCGAAACATTTTTGAATAACAACACTTAATATTTGCTAAAGCGTGAGGGAGTTTTAACACCTATTGGCTTATAATGGCATATTGCTAATATAAATTCACACTTATTTTATTATATATAATATAGTATTATATTAATGACTAGACATTCACATTTTAAATATTTATAATCTTTAATTTTTTGGATGACTTCTTTTCGCATCTGATTAGGAATCCATTGCTTTTCTTATGAGTTGTGGCTTATGAACCCTGGGTTTTAGAGTTGGGGACAAATCAGCTCTGTTCTATTTTATTTATTGATTTTTCTGAGACAGAGTCAATAGCTCAAGCTGTCCTCAAATTCTTAACATAGCTGAGGATGACTTTGAACTTCTGATCCTTCTGCCTCTACCTCTGGAGTGCTGATACCATAGGTAGATGTGCTGCTACACTAGGCTCACATGGTTCTGGCCATTAAACCCAGGGCTTCCTGCATGCTAGGCAAGCACTCTACCAATCGACCTACATCCCCAGCCCCAGTTCTGCACCCCCCCACCTTTTTATGGGTTCACTTGTGCCTCTGTTATTGGCCCACACTCAGTCCGCAATCAGTGAAGATACTGTAAAGTCTTGAGTCAGTTGGAAGGTTTGGGTGACTTGAAACCAATTCTATTTGTAAACCCACAAGCCCAAGTGCCTGTGGACCACAACACATTGAATTTTTGTAGTCTATTGAAAGTGAACAATGGAGTCGTATGTTGTTGTCAGCACTGACTGCCACACTCCAGGATCCCTTGTATGCAAGTTTTTTTTCTGTGGAACTCACTCTAACATCCCATGAGGTGGCCTGGAAAATGAAAGAAGGGCTTTGGGGACCTGAGTGATGTCCCTGTGCTGAGAGGACTGAGGTGAAGAGAATGAGGTAGTCATCGCCATCTCTGAGTGATGACTTTAGGCCAAGGTGCCAAGTATTTCTACTCTCATTTCTCTACCTTACATGACGACCTCGTTCTCCACCTTCCCTCTTAAAATCTCTCTTCTCTCTTTCTCTCCTGGCCCATCGACTCCACCAGAACACAAGCCTCTTTCTTGGGCTTCAAAAAAAAAAAAAAAACAAGGCTCCTGAAATTTGGCTCACATCCATGCTTTGCACTGATTTCACACCCAATGTGGCACTTTTGAAATGAGAACCTTTGTTTCTGCCACTCCCTTCCTAGCCCTTCTACCCCTCAGAGCTTTCAATGATGCTCCATTGCTTGGGATAAGACCAAATCTCTTTATGTGTTTTAGAAAGCCCCGGGTTGCCTGTCTAGTGTTAGTGTCTCTGGTTTTATCTGACACACATCTCTTGTGCCCTTGCTTCCTCTCCTTCCTCCACTGCCCGTCTGTCCATCTGTCCATCTTTCATAGGTTCCTTCCACTCTCCTGTCCGAGGCAGATCCCCTCCTCAAGCAGTGGTCCCCAGGTCTTCTGTTCTCTTGCCTTTAGCTCCCGATATCTCAGTGGAGGTTGCATCCCTGAGGGCTCTCGATGGCTCCCGTGAGGATGACACACCCAGAATCAACCCATCAGGACTCGGCACGCCTCTTCAACTTTACTTTCTTGTTTGTGATTCTGTGGTTAAGATTTGCTCATACCTACCAGGATTTGATCTCCACGAAGGCAGAAGCTGTGTTCATGGTGGATACAATATTGCAGTTCCCAGGTTAAAAAAAAATAAATAACAACAACAAATAAACAAAGCCTGGCACATAACTGATGCTCAGTCAGTATTGTCTGTGGTAAGAAACATAATGGAACTTGGAACCAAGCATTAGCTGGTAAGAAACACGCCTCTGTTGCTTCTCTTGTCTTCTACAAGAAGTCTATAGAACTCAGCATGGCAGCAGGGGACAGCCTGGACATTGTAAACATCACCTTTCTTCTGTATAAATCTCTAGTTCCACTATTTCTCCTATTGGGTTGTACCTTGGGGGGACACTCCCCTCCTCTCCCCCCACACAGTAAGAAATAGGCAGGTGCAGGTCAATCCATAGCCCTGAAAGAAAAGGCAATGGCGGCAGGTTCCAGGTGACAATCTCCTTTCAATTCAGTTTCAAGGAATGCAGATCTGTTTTCTTCTGTAGTGTTGTAAACAGGGGCAGAGTTGTGTGGCAGAAGGTTGCCGGAAAAGGTTACACTTCCCTTGTCTGTTCCTTAAACTCTGGTTGACATTACTATTTGTTTGTGCGATCCCTTGTGCAATGAATGCCCAGACAAGTTTTATTCTAAAAGAAAGGGTCAAAGAACATCAAGGAAACCCTTCTGGCTAAGGGGCACTTTGCTCTGCTGTCTGTAGCTGGGAAGAGAGAGCCCGATGAATCAGTAGGGCAAGGCAGAAAGCCGGGCCACCTTGAACCTCTATCAGCTCTAAAGCAAAGGAGAAGAATAAAGGAATCGAGCCCCAGAGACCTTTGCAAGGGGAAGATTCTCGCTCCATGCTTGGTGAGACTGTCTCTGTAAACCTCTGGGCACTTTAGTGCACCATGAGGCGGATCTCATCTTTGAGGTAGAAAGCTAAGATAATAACAACAGTCATAGCTACTGATTTCTGAAGGCCCACGAGAGACAGCTCCCATTCTCAGTGTTTGTCTGTGCAATAGTTCATTTCCTTCTCATGAAGACCCCCTGGAGCATGTATTACCAACAGTCTTCTCTTCCACTAGGGAAGCTGAGACTCAGAGAGGTCAAGTCAAGTAACTCACTAGAGGTCACTAGAGGCAGCAGTCCACTTAGGGCCACACCAACGTTATGATCCCAACCACTGCAGACTCTGGCTTCGTGCTGGTCGTTGTCTGCAGAGCTGTGCAATCTGGCATGTCTGAGGGAAGCAACAGAATCAGCCTTTTCCTGGTCACAGAGTGACAAAGAGTGACCAGAGGAGGAGGTGCATTGAGGGGATCTGTTTGGGTCTTGATTCTAAACTATGCTATGCAGCTATATTTTATCCCTGGTGCTAAATATTTTGAGAAGAATTTTAAGGTTCCTCTGATTCTTGTGCTTGCCCTTAGGGCTCTTTCCTTTTTGTTCAGCCTTGTCCAGACTCCATGTGATAGTTTTTGCTTTATCTGGTATTTTATTTTGTCATGTTTGGTTGTGATCGCCTAGAAGCCTGTTCTTTTCTAATGAGAGACAGAAAGGGGGTGGATCCAGAAGGGAGGGGAGGACTGAGAGGAGCAGAGGGAGAGAAAACTGTATCAGAATAGATTGTAAGAGAAAAGAATTTATTTCCAATGAAAGGGAAAAAAAGAAAAAAAAAAGAAGAGAGTTTCTCAGACCTGCTTATTGTTGTGTAGGGGTAGATCAGCATGTGAACAAATACTGTGCCAGGCACTACTTTAATAATAATAATGATAATAATGTTATTATCTAAATGTGACTCTGGATGTCTGGGAAGTGCTGATGAAGCCACTGTAAGGTTCCTGTCATCGACTCAGGAAGGGTCAGTGGAATGGGAGACTTGCTGGTTGGGGGTGGCCCTGCCTGGGGCTCCTGAAAGGAAGAATGGGTGGGTAAGTCTATCTGGAAAGAACTGAGCAGCTGACATCTGGAAACGGGTGGGAGAGGGCAGGGCTGTGTAGACACATCTATGGACAAGAGCCTGAGGCTCCAGAAAGGGGAGAGGTTTAGATTAAAAAAAAATATTTGATCACTCTTCCTGAATTATGTGGTTTCAGAAGGAGGGCAATTATCTGTTGAAAGGGTTTTCTAGTGTTCCCTGAGATGGCCAGGATGATAGGCAATTCAACCGGACTGGCTTGAGCAGAGAAAGCTTCTCACGAGAATGGGTGTTGTACCAGAGTTGGTGCACCTGGGCTCGGAACCTGGGCGTGGGAGAACCTGAGATGGGTGTGAAAGGCCATTCAGAAGCTGAACTGGACGGAGCTCCGTAGTCAATTCACCCGGCGGTGGTCTGGTTTGCAGCCCGCTCCTGGGGAGATTCTGCTTATAAAGAGTGTGAAATTGCTCATTTCTGTGAGATGTCTCAGATGTCTTGGCTCAAGACGTAGCCGAGGGGCGTTTTCTGTTTACAGGAGACTGTGGGCTGAGAAGGAAACTGACTTTTACGGGGCGCTTGGGATATGGAAGAGTCGAGAGGAGCCTGTGATTGCACGTGCTGTCTCACTTACTATTCCAGGACTCGGTGGGGGCGGGTATTTCCTGCGTGTCCTGCCTGTTTTCTCAGTAGTGAGACAGAGTAGGAGAGGCTGAGCGAAGGTCCTGCTGTGCTGCCCTTATCAAACATCAGCTTCCATTCTAGTCCATTGGCTCCACAGCCCCGAGCTCGTGTTTTTTATGGAGAATTTCATACACATATAATCTTTTTTCATTTGACACAGGCTCTCACTATGTATCCACACACGGTTTTGATCTAATCCACTTCCCATTCCCTTCCCTTCAAAACGCACCCCCTTTGCAACTTTCCCTCCCTACTTCATAATCTTTTTTTCTCTTAAAGAAAGAACCCTGCGTTGACTTAGTGCTACCTATAAGTGCACAGGTGTAGGACCGTCTACCAGAACACAGGTTGCCACTCCAGGGTCGAACCCCTGGAGAAAACTGAGTCTTCCTTGGCCAGTAGTCATCAGTTGCCAGTAAGGTCTCCCGTGGGAGTGGAACTTCGTGAGCCTTGGCCCTCTCCGTGAAGACTGAGGCTTTAATCACTAGGCCTTACACAGTTCTCAAAGAGAATAAAATAGTAGAAGAGCTCAGATCTAATCCATTCACTCACCCAGCCTCCCAGTGAGAAAACATCCCTTCCTGAGCGCCTGGTATTGGACGGCCACAATGAATGGTTGTATGAACAGGCAGAGGGGCATGGAGTCTGGTGCGCAGTCACAAGGGATCAAAATCTGCCTCCTCTTCTTCCAGGCTATATGTCTGACATTACCAGGTCTGCTCAGTATGGCGTTTCCCTACCGCCCTGGGTGAAGGTACGCCTTGGGCTGTTGTGGGGGTGCCATGCATGAGACACGGGAAACCCTTAGGGAAGGAAGCTCCTGGTTTCTTTGAGCACCCACTAAGGTTTGTCACATGGGCTTGTTCCTTTGTCTGGCAGAGGGAAAAGTCACGTCTGGCCTTTGTTGAGCTTCCATCAGACGGGAACAAGGGTGATCACAGGCAGAAAGTTGAAGAATGTCGGATGCAGCGGCAGAGGATATCACGGTCCTGATGTTCAGCTGAGAAATCCTCTCTGATCCAATTGCTGTTCTGTGTCCTGGCCGTTTCCCCAGGAGCGTTTATGAGAAACATTTTCTACATTTCTGCTCCAGTCTTTGCCAATGCCTAGCACTGTTTTGATTTCTCTGAAAAGGGTGGGCTTGAATCACTGATCTAACTGAAGCCTGACTTGTCCCTTGCAGGATGGGTTGGTCCCTGAGGACAACTGTCTCCACTGCCAGGGGTCCGGCATCGCCACCTGTTCTCTGTGCCACGGCAGCAAGTTCTCAATGCTGGCTAACAGATTCAAGGAGTCCTATCGAGCCCTCAGGTGCCCTGCCTGCAACGAGAATGGCCTGCAACCATGCCGAATTTGCAGCCCGTAGCCGGTAGCCCTGATTCTCACATCCCCTTTTATTACACCCTCCTGTGTGCTCTCCTAATAAACCATCCCCCTTTCTCCTGCTTCTCTCAGAAAAGGAGCTATTGCAGCTGTGCTCGCTCCTAACACTAGCAAATCTCAAATTATTTGATGACATTTTGTAAAGCGGGTAACATCTCTACATGGGTCTAAGTAATGGGGGCATTTTTGAATTAGAATCTGCTTTGAAACGGGTTCTAAAATTATCCTTTCAGGAACACGTGCACGCATCTCACTTGATTTAGCTCAGTCTTCCCCCTGCATCAGTGAACAAATAAATAAATGTACACTTCAGGCAGTGGGTTGAAGTCATTTTCCGGGCTGAGGGTTATTTTGCAAAATTATGTGGTGAGAAAGGAATAAAGAAGTGTATTTCCAACGAACCAAATTCCTGTTGCTTGTCATGCATCTGAAATTGTTATTGGTCAAATTGAATTCTAATGAAGCAGAAGGGGGAAGATACAGCCAACTCCAGTGGTCCTGGCAGGTCTCTGCAAGTAAAACAGTATGCTCATTCTAGAGACAGGTGAGATGAGGAGGCCCTCTTGCAGCTGCTCCTGCACTAGCTAGGCAGGCAGAGAGCTCACTCCTGTTCAGGTGAGGATGGTCTACGATCTTTCTGTGTGCCTTTAACTGGTGAGGTTATAAAGCTACACCAAACCTATTTATGAGAAATTTGGTGCCCAAGCATGTATTTGTGATAAGAATTCTGCCAGCTCCTCACTAAATTACCAAAAACACGGGTCTATTTTAGGACTCTGATCTAGCCAGTTTGTCTTTTGGAAGGACAGCAGGTGTTCCGCTCTGAACTAAGGAAACTCTAAGAGAAAAACCGAGAGGGCTGATAGACATTGTGTTTTACCGCCCACTAATGTGCATGTGAAGGGTGACTCTTCCCTCTTAAAGACAGTTATTAAGTTTTAAGACCACGTTTGTTGATGAACTTTTGTAGCTTGAACACCCACTCTCCACACTCCGTGAGGATGCCGCAGAAATCCGTTATCTACTGCTGCTTGTCTCCCATAATAGTTCTGACTTTATAGCTTAGTAATTCTTCAAGGTTTGTTATTTGCTTCAACGCTGTTAAATCGACAGTGGGTTGCATGTGGGTAATATGGATACTTCTAATAAAAAAGATGCAAACACACTCTTTGAAGCCACGGTGCTCTTGTCTGCTTTCTCATTGCTTACGTGACACCTTTGGGACTGTGTGTGACTGCTCCCTGCCTCGGTGTGTGCACCTTTCTCTGTCTTCTCAGCAGAGCAGAGCAAAGCAGAAGGAGGGGTGATGTCAAGAGACCTTAAGTACTTAACTCTTTGATGGGAGCATTCTGTCACAGGCATGGTTTGAGTACCCTTCACACCACACACACACACACACACACACACACACACACACACACACACAGACGGGCTTGAGACTTTGTGTAACCCAAAGATGCCAGACCTTTGGTATCTTGTGGGTTTTCAGTTTAAGTGGAATCAGGTAGTTGAAGCGTAGTGTGGCTTTACTAAGATGGGCTAATATGGGATGGGATTAATATATTTGGAGAAAAAGAAGGATACTTTGTTAGCTAGCCTTAGTCGGTTATTCTTTCTGTTTGTGCTGGGATTGCATCTGATGTCTGATATATGCTAAGCACATGTTTTACCTCTGAGGTATCTTTATCTATCTATCTATCCCTGGTAGGTTTAGGGAGGCGACCCAAAGGAGAAGATTTGATAATGTTGGCTTGTCTTTCTTACACACACACACACACACACACACACACACACACACACACACACACAATTGTCATTCCATCACCTGTCCAGAATGCTCTTAAGGGTGGCTATCTTTTTAAATAATCACACAATAAATCTGTCTATTAATGACTACACCAATTGTGTTAATTCAGTAGGTAGATATTTATTATTGTGATGGAAACAACATCTGACCTCTTAATCAGGTATTAAATACATAAAACCTTACTGCTGGTGATCACTATATACTTTTGGAACCGTGACCCAAGAACAAATTTTCTTCTTTGAAAAGAAACCAAACCAAACCAAACCAAATATCCACTGAGCATCAAGGATTTAGAAGTAGGCAAAAGGACAAAATCCTGTTTCCTCTGGAGCTTATATTTTGGTAAAAGAGTATAGATGCCTATATATATATTTATATATGTAACACTCATATATGCTATAGCTATATAAAATACGCTACAGAGAAATATGCATTTATACAATACAGCTATATGCATGTTAGAAGGGGATAAATCTACACTAAAATATAGTGCCGCAGGGGACTGAGAGCTGGGCGTGGTGTGCACGAGTGACCTAGAAAAGTGGCTTCAGTAAAGGGCTAGTGGAACTGTAGCTGTAGTGAGCCCCACAGATGCCTGGGGTAAGAGTAGAACTCACAGAGGAAACAACCACGCTAGACTTAACAGGAAGGATAGGGGGCCTAGAAGACAGTGTGGGACAGAGGGAGGTGGGGCAGAAGAGAAGGCGCGTGTCTCTGTGGTGTGCGAATGTGCGCCAGTGTGTGAGGTATGTGTGCTTGTGTGTTGGGTGGCGGGAGCGTTTCTCAGAAGCTGTGGTAAGAGCTTGGATTACTGTGACACGCTGCTGAAGCTGGGCCTCTGCTCAGTCAATGTCACTTTCACAAGCTAGCGTCTATTCCCCCCCCCCCCCAGACGCTGGCGACAGGGGCCTGAAAACTACACTTCCCAGACTCCTTAGCCTGAGAGCAGACAATTTCTGCCAAGTACTGGCAGGAGGCTGCTCGCGGGAGGAAAAAAGACACCCGACCCCCCACCCCCACCCCCACCCCCACCCGCCCTTCTTCAAGCCAGGCTCCTGGCAGCTTTTGCCACAAGGCTTTTGTTCTAGCAATCAGGAGTCTTTGTAACCAAATCCCATAACGCTTTCCCTCTTTGAAATGTCTAGAATGGGCATAAATGTTTGAGCTGAGGAGGATCATGACGTTTTAGTCGCTTGGCTAATGTGCTAGGAAGAGACGCAGCAGGGTAGGGGGAGAAGTAGGGGGCTGGCAGGGAATGGTTACCAGGGTCCTGTTGGTGGCTCATGGTAGCTAGAGCTTGTGAGGTACCAAGTGGTCCCGCTAGGGATGCGTCTGAATCATGCGGTATGTTTACTGCCCTTTGTATTTATTTGTGAACTTCGCACCCCGGCATCAGTCAGGACTCGGCACACTTTAGGGCAAGGTAGACTAGTGCTATCAGTACTCAGAATTCCTGGAGTTGGAAACAAGTGTGAAGATTCCAAAACATCAGCTCGACAATGCTGTGTGGTCAATGATGCCGTGTCCTCTGAAAGTGCAGGACCTTTTAAAAAAATGAACAAGCGACTTCAAACATAAAATTTTACAGAGTTTGATGGATGGCCCATGCCTCTAAGTCCAGCGGTGGGGAGGCAGAGGCAAGAGAAGGCACTGGCCACTGTTTTAAAAAAAAAATTACTGTGTTTCACTGGAGCTTAATTGGAGTGAAGTTTGTGCAAAAAGTAAATCTGAAAGAAATGTTCACAGTTGTTTGTATCACCTGTCCTCACTAGCTGAATTTTCTCATGTTCTAATTAAACATAGTAATTGTTGAGAGTTCATAGTCATGCAATTAGTTGAGAGAGAAATGGAGCTACGTCAGTGTCAAAATTGTGATATACAAGCCCTGCCTGTATCAGAGGACGTGCAAAGCCCCAAGGAAAGGTCTGGGGACAGGGTGGTAGAGCATCCTCACTGAGCTGGGGGAGGGAAGGACAGAGGGGCAACTGGTCCTGATAACACTAGGTTAAAGTTCACCTGCTTCCCAGGGTTTCCTTTCTGCACAGTTAGCATCGCTGTCAGTCAGCTCCCAAGCACTTCTCCCCACCAGTGGCTATTTCTCAGGATACTGGGACCATTTAATTTATACGAAAATATACATGGCTGATAAGCAACCACCGCTGTTTTTATAAATTCAAAATGTGCTTTTTGAGGATGTCTGTGTGTCAGGTGATGTGAAAGACTCGAGCATGCACAAGGAAGAAAGGGAGATGTTTTCCTCCAGGGTAATTTTACTCCCACAGGAAACCAGAGGTTTAAGTAGATACTCACAAAACGGAGTGGCAGGTGTCAGAAGAGGAAAAGAAAAAAGTAGTTAAGTCGTTCAGCTAGAGTTCCTTTCTGGAAGGCACGGTGCCTCAGCCGGCACTGTCTCCTCCGTATCTCCCCATTCTGCCTCACACAGGCATTAAGTGAAGGGTTGGCCATTTGTTGTTTGGTGAGACACATCTGATTTCATCGCTTGGCCTTTAGTGTGTTGTGTGTTATCTTACGTGCCAATACCTTATGAAGGCTTCACAGGGGAATAGCTTTTAAAGTGACTCTGAGTGAATCATGGTGACACATGGCCTAATGTCTACATTCAAGTGGTTCTTCAGAGTCCAGCCTAGGGTTTGCATAGTGAAACCACACAAAAACAAAACAAAACAAAACACCAAATACACACATAGTGTGGCCCATTTCCTAGATTTGTGCCCTTCTGTAATCACCTCCCCTCAAGTGTTGGTGGCCCAGAAACTCTTCTTACAAGAGGAGCAGGGTCAAAATGTGACATTACCTCAGAGATTTGGTTACAGAGGACCGTAACTTTTTCCCTGGTTCACCCAGGCCATATGTGGAATTTTGATAGGTCCATGCAGCAAGGAGTGCTATGTGGCCTCTAGCCACTAAGGCCTCAGCAACCTACCAGTGAAGGCAAGGGGGAGCTTGATAGGGCGAACTAACATGACTGCGGCCTTGGACCCAAAATCACTCAGCTGATCCAGGTTCTTAGCTCTGCCTGAAGCTAATACTTGTTTCACCGTGGCAGATAAAGGGCTGGGGCTTTATCCCAGTTACCAGAGCGCTTGCCTGGTGTGCACAATGTCCTCGTGCTATCCTAAGCACCTCACCAGACAAATGGCTGTGAGGGTGCACAC